GTAATCAATAATAATATTAATATTACTATAATTTAAGAAAAGTTTTGTCCAAAGCCTACCAACTTGTTCAATTGTTTCACCTGTGGGAAAAAATCCACAGTTATGAGGCGTGTGAAAGCACAACGTTTGTTTGTTTGTGATAGGAAAATTTAATTAAATCTGACACCTGTGATCAACATCAGGTTTATTATTCATAAGGAACCATAATTGATAATCAGGAAAAATAATTTTTTTTGATCCTCCTCCCTATTCATTTATTCTTGTGAATCCCAGAGATCTGGGTAGAAACACATTGTGAAGAGTTTCAGTTATGCATGGCCTTGGTATTATTACTACCTGAGTGGTGCAATTGAATGTATTGCATAATAATCATGACCATCATGAATATTTGATGGATGGAGACATTCACATACGAGGAAATGATAAAGTCATGTTTGCTTTATTAAAGATGTATAATTAATTATATTTAAAATATACAATAAAAAAATTGCAAGGCTACACCACTATGTCAATCAAGCTATCAAGCTGTTATATTTGTGCATGATAATAATTTCTTCATTGATCCCTGTAATATCAAATCAGTCTGATCTTTGCGATCTGCATGAACTTAACTTCTAATTGGCTGATCTGGATGATATAAATATTTGGGAAATTTTTCCAACTTTTTATTTCAAAAATTTAAGAATGCTTAGTTTTATAAGACGTTCAATTGAAGTTGCAAAAGAAGAAGGAACTAAAAGTAATTAATAATGTTTAATTTTTTTCAGTCTTTAAGACTATAATTTCAATACAACTTTCTCAATTATATAATATAGTTCTAAGAGCGAATCCTATTCCATGGGATAAAGAAATGAAGATGTTGAAATTGAATGATCAAGAAGATTTAGGACAGTGGTTAGTTGGTTCTGATAAAGATATTGGTGGTAGATACACAACATGATTTTTTTTATTTAAAGACAAAACTATTATACATACGTGTACATATTATATATTTGTCTATTTCTTTATTTTTTTTTGTTTGTGGGGGAATATATACATATACATATACATATACATACATATATAATATGTATTTTAAATAAAGGTCTATCAGAGGCAAAATTAGAAATTACTCCTGAAAATAAAGGTAGATTTCATGGTTATGTATCACTTGATCTACCACCAAATTATAAATATGAAAAAAGTGGTTATGCTGCTATTAGATCAAAGGTAAGCAATCTTACGATTATATGGATATAATAAATATTAAGTAAGATTAACAGAAATGTTGACAATAAAAAATTTGGGCAATTTATAGGTTCGTGGAGTTACAATATTTGGTACACCAATGTGGGATACAACTTTATTTAGATATTTAGCATTAAGAGTAAAAGGAGATTATAAAAAATATTATATAAACTTGCAAACTGATGGTCCAGTTCAAACTGATTTGTTTCAACATCGCTTATTCCTAAGAAAACCTGGTGATTGGGAAACTGTCATGGTAAATTTTATCTTCTTTTTATAATTAATTAATTGATCGATCGATTGATTGATTGATTGATTAATATTTTTACTTTCTCTTTTTCTCAAAAGATTCCATTTAGAGATTTTATTTTGACGAATCATGGAATAATACAAGAACCACAGATAGCAATGTATCGTGAAAAGGTTAAAACTGTTGGGATTAGTATATTGGATCAACACGGTCCTTTTAGTATAGAAATCGATTGGATTAAAGCAATGAACACTGACACAACCGATGGTAAATAATTTTATTTTTAATTAAAATAATCTTTTTAAGGTTAAGGCTTTTCAACTTATTTATTTATATGAATTATTGAAATTGAAAATAGGTGATTTTGATATGTTGCCCCGTAATAGAGAAAAACCTGCATCTGAATAATTGCTATTGTTAATAAAATAATATAGCATGAATGATGTATTTTTAAATTTTGATTAAATCAGCTATAGTATTTATCAAAACTTTTTTACCTTATATACTTCTTTAAACTGACGTCATACGTTTCTGTTTTGGGATTCAAAATATTTTCTATATTTCGAAAGAAGATGGGGAGAAAGATAATATTTTATGAGCAAGAAATGAGAAAGGTAAAACAGGATTTGTTGTAAATCCAGACATTGACAAATTTTCCAAGGTACTAAATAATATATGTACGTTGTCACTGGCGTAAAATACACATCTAAGATGTATTTATATATTAACATTTGGAATTCCAATTAAATTCTTAAAGCCATCCATTTTTTCCTTATTCTTTGGTTAACTTATAATGAGCATAAGTTGGATGTTGCTGGAGTACAACAAACCATGTTGGAATGCTATTAGAGAGAAGATGCATGAACTACATCAAACTTGTCAACTTGGTGAAAAGAAGTTTGTGTTCCACCAAAGGCTATGTAAAACATTGCAGAATGTATTTGATGTCCCAGAGTATCTTGAAAACATGTGCCTGTCAAAATTTTGATATTGCATTTTCTTTTTTTTATATAAATGGTCTTCATAATTGAGATATGTTGAAATTTCTTATCTTTTTCTCAATCAATTAAGAATATTCTTGTTTAAATCAAGAATCAAAAATACACGGGTAAATTCGATAAGTCGAAATTGATTGAGAGGGCCAACTTATCAAGTTTATCTGCGCAGTAATAATCACAGAATAAAATAATGTAATGTACCTATGTATGTATTGAATGGACGTATTATTATAATTTTAACTTACGTCAGTCTAGCTTGAAGTAAAAACAATTATGTGAAAAGGTCATGGGAAAGTTTTTTTTTTAAGCGATTAAAAAATAACACTAATCATTTATTTTACTTTATTAACAACCCAATCTGTGCTGAGTTAGATTTAGAATTTGTAATAATAGTAATGACTACATGATTAAATACATATATACATAAATTTAAAAATGATTTTTGAATTGCGATTTTAAACGGAGATAAAAAGTTAACAATTATCTTTATAATTAAAGTTGATCAAAGAATTTTTTATAAAGAAAGTTTTTATAGTCTACTCATATTATCAATATTTCCTGTTGCTAAATTGGCAATAGACTGCGAGGGATTAACTATCCCAGTAGTTATTACTGGTATTCAAATAGCTTGTTTGCATCGGTGGTCGTTGAATGAGTGGTTGTCGCATTGGAGGAAGTTGTTGCATTAATTGTTGAATTATTAGTTTCTGAGGAAATTGAAGTGAACATGGTAGGGATACGTTGAGAGCCATATCTGGGTGTGACCAAGGGGATTAGGGTTTTGTATAGCAATTGGTTGAGGTTGAGTTTGCTCTCACAGAGTTTTGTATGTTAATCGCTATCACAATACAATGAGTAATTAATTATGTAAACTAGTAATATCGTTATTGCTGTCGTTGTAGTAGTTTATATTTTGATATTATTTAAAACAAAGTTGAGGATTTTGTGCCAATAATGCATGAGTTTGCAACTAAATTTTGCATATTTAAATAATTATATGTAATTTTTTCAAAAAATAAATGCTCAGAACCTTCATAATGTACAGTATCTCGAGAAATTGGATGTGATTCTTTCTGAATTCATTCTATCATTTTGACGTGATGTTTGTTGAATTAGATGTAGTGGCTGGATCATTATTTACCGGTTTAATTTTATGGACTGTTAAAGAATTCATTAGGATTTTTTTCATCCGGATAAAGTCTTAACACTATAGTTGACGCCCTCCAACTTATGCATTATTTAAATTTTTTGCTGCACTTGCAGCTGTTTCGGAGTCTTTTGTATAAAATACATTGTAAATTCGGTCAATTAAAAATTCCAGTTTTATACTTTTGTTTATCTGTATCTGTTTATCTATTTATTTATCCAATTATCTTTCTAGTTACCATGATATTCACAAAATTCATATCTGCGTGGTCTTCAAAACCAGATTTTCTTTAATGATGTTCATTGAAGTAAATACGAGTGTTCATTACGAAAATTCATAAATATATAGTAAAAATAAAAATTTAGTTTAGAACAAAATGAATAGATGAGTAAACCAACCAGTGAATCGACCACATAGCATAAAAGGTGGTGATAATAGGAAAAAACAAACCAAAAGATATGCAAGTTGGTTAAAGTTGTAAGTATACCAAATGATCACTCAAATAGACAAATAAAATGGAAGGAGAGAAAATAGTTTTATGTGTATTTATTTATCAATCATTTCATTGAGAGATCTTTACCTTTTTCTAGTTCTCTTATTCTTTTTTTAATTGAACTATTCTAATTCTTTCCTGTGGTTGGGATTAACATCAAAAAATACAAATTAATTGATTTTTTGACTAATAGATTTAAACTGAGTTGTAGGTAATGATGTATGACGAAATTTTTGACTTTAGTCGTTGACGTAACTAAAATACTGGCTAAGGGTAGTTTCTTATCAGGACCCATTTTGATGATTTGACTAAGCCCTTGACATAAGTAAGACCACTTGACGTAATCGGCGTAAGTAAAAACGCTTGATGTAAGTAAAAACATTTGATACAAGCAGTAATAATGGTAATGATAAAATAAGATATCAAAAGTTAAAAAAATGTGTTCGGAGCTGGCTGCGTAACTCAAATAAGCATTTGGCTAAACTGACTAAACTATTTAGTCATATGTTAAATCAATTTAGTCAAGATGATTGTTACTAAATTAGGTTTTTAACCCCTTTACGCTGCCAGCCCTGGTTCGGAGATGAATAAAGAATTATTTTATCGCATACAAGAATAATTATCGTGGGAGAAATTAAATTACATGTTTTTCCGTATATTTCTTTCAAAATAAAAACGCCTCTTCTTTTTTATAAATTAAAACCATTACTATTTAAATGGGTGAGAAAATTGAGAAACCGTCCGTGTAACTTCCCAGATCAAAAATTATTTAAATGGGGCGTTATTTTTTTTTCTATATTAATATGAAAAAATAGTTATTTTTCTAAAAAGTATTTTTTCTTAAATATTTTCTAAAAAAACCATTTTAAAATTTAAATTTTCATTATGAGTGAAGTAAAACAAGACATATTCAACACAACTACAGCTGATTCTTCATCAAAAGATAATAAAATAACTAATGATGAAAAAACTATACAGTTTCAAATAAATGATGATACTGGAAATAATAAAAATGTTCAGGGTTATTATTATTATTACGGATGGAGATGATAAAAATTTTGAAAGAAAAAATTGATTTTTAGCTAAAAAATTTTTTATTTATTTTCTTTAGACACAAATCGTGATCTTGAATCTAACAGCGATAGTAATCAATTTAATGTTAATAGCAGTAATATTTATAATAACAATAGTAATGATTTAAGTTTACAACAATATGAAACTCGTAGTGTGGAAGAAAATACTGAACCTTGGAAACCACATGGACCTTGGTATAAAGATGTTACAAAACGCAGATGGTTTGCATTTGGTTTAATTGCATTTTTGATAGTAATTGTCATTATTGTTGGTAAGTAAATTTTTATCATTTTTATTTCATATTTATCTGATTATGATCTTTTGCTAATTGAACATTTTTATTTTTTATTATGATTTACATAGTTCCAATATCAGTTTCACATGCAATCAAAGATAGATAAATTTATACATAATAAAAAATAATAATTAATTTAAATATATATATATATATATTCACTTTTCCAATTCCCTAATTTTTATATATTGATAGTTGTAACAAAAACAAATATAAATCAAAAATAAATTTTAAAAGCAGTAATTGGTGAATAATAGTAATAATAATAACACTTCATGTACATCTATGGTGTGATTTTCAAATAATTGGCTAAAATTGGAAAAATTATTAAAAATCAAATAAAAATTTTCCCTCTCTTTTCCCCTTGCAAAAAAAAAAAAAATGAATAAAAATATTATTTTACCATTATTATTATGTTTGTCATTAATTTTATCGTTTTTAGGACTTTATATAGTTTTCAAGTTTGACGAACAGTTACAATATAATAATAAAAATTATTGTTATAAAGAATATTGTCTATTCTCTAATAGTAGCGAAGAAGCTGATAATTATTTCTTTGGATCATCACCAATAGTAGAAGATGATAATTCAAATTTGTTGGTTTCAGCATTATCATCCATTATGAAATATCCAATTTACAACGATAAAGTTGATAATGATGATGATGATGATAACGACAACGTAAAAAATATTTGGCAAGAAGTTAAATTTGATGAAATTTACAAGTTAAATTTAATAGGTGACAAATTATCTTTAGACAAAAATCAGCAACTATATTATAATCACAATAACAACAATAACAATGATGGTCCATTTAATATAAAAATAAAAAAATTTTATGGAAGAACTTTACATTTAAAAGACTTATATAGAAACACAACTATTAAAGAATTAAATTTAAGGATTAAAAATATTTTAAGAGCCGATCCAATTATACAAAAAATTGTATTTAATGGAAGAAAGGTTACTGATGGAGATAAAGATTTACAATATTATGGAATCAAGAAAAATAGCGTATTGCATTTAGACCTTTTGCCATTTTCACCATCACCTTCTTCTTTTAAGGACAAGAAAGATAAGAAGAAGAAAAATATCATATTCAAGAGATTTATTAATCCAAATTTTATAAATAAATTATATGATAATGCTTTTACATTATATAATGATTTTGGTGACAATAAATACTCATCTTCATCATCACAATGTAATTGGATAAAATTTGCAATAGACAATAAACAAATAATTTCTAAAGGCTGGAAGATTTCTTATCATGGAACATCAAGGTTCAAACACAATTCAATTGCAAATCAAGGAAATATTCTCCTTAGACAATTACAACACCAAGAAAATCATCTTTCTCATCCTCATCCTCATCCACAAAATCTTAATAATTTAATTAAATTTTCTGACGGCATTTTTACAACGCCAGATTTAAAACTGGCAGAGTTATACAGCAAAATATTTTATTTTAAAGGTGAAAAATATAAGGTGATTTTTCAACATTTGGTTAAAGAAAAGTCTTTGGTTAAAATCAAGAGATTTGATATCAGGAATGATCGACTTGATGAATATTGGGTTTCTCCTTGTGAAAACGAATTAAAACCATTTGGTGTTCTAGTCAAAAAAGTTGAAAATTGCGATCAATGAATAATACGAATACGTAGCAGTAATTGTTTGTGATTATTAATCAAATGATCACGTGGTTAGTTGTGTGACATATTTATTTTTTCAATAAATAGATGACCGATTCCAAATTTTTTTGTCTGAAATTTTTTTTTTTTTTAAAAATATATATTATTATTATATTGATATATAAAATTATAAATTTTTTCGAATTAAAAAAAAAATGGTAAAGCCTATTCAATCTATTGATAAATATAATGTCAACATGACTTCATCTATTAATACTTCTATTATGAGTCAAAATCGAAAACAAGACATAAGGCAACTTGTTTCACAACCGAAAAATAATACATCCAAGACTACTAATACTGTCTTACCATATAACGAATATCCTTTATCCAATGATAGATTCTATAATGCTCAAGATTCATCATCACAAAATGTTATTGTAAAAAATGAACCATCGTTATCATCAACAACTAATATAACTACTAATAATCATAAAATCCCGTTAATCAAATCTCTTAAATTAAATAATCCAGATATTCAAGATTTACCTGTTGGCACATGTTTGTTCTTGAAAAATTTGTTTCTTACAAATAATAAATGGGAAAATTTGTTTTACGATATTTTTAGTCAATATGGTGAAATATTACAAATATTTGTTAATAGAAATGTGTATAATCATGCGTTAATTCAATACAAAAATGTTGAAAGTGTAAAGAATGCAATTGAAAAAGAAAATGGTAGAATTTTCAATGGATCAAGACTAGGTAAATAATTAATATTAATATGGAATATCAATCAAATTTATTTATTTAACTTTCAATACTGTAACTAACATTATTTATTGTTGTCGTTGTTGTTGTTATTGTACATAGTATTAGAAGTATTCCGTAATAAGAAACATCATAATCATAATCGTAATCATGATCGTAATCATGATCGTAATCATAATCATAATCATAATTCTTCAATTCAAATTGGTACCAATGATAAACAAGGAAAAGCCCAAAAGCCTCAAATTTATTACGATAGAGAATACTCGCCTGTTACCAATTATTACGTCGACCTTGATCATTATTGTTCGTATCAAAAGGAAATTGATGAAAAGAAAAATTATGGTGAACCTCATCGTCATGATAAAATTAAAGAAAAACAATCAATGAACCGACCAAATCCTTATAAAATTCCAAATAAAGACTTTAATGCCGCTGAACAGAGATTATTACGTGATTATAACAATAAACCTACTCCTCCCGAGCTTACTAACTCTAATTATCCAAATATTGATATGTCCAAGATCGATCCCAACTTTTTGAAAAGCTTTGATTTTGTTTCTCTTGCAAATTTGCTTAATTCAATACCGCAATATCAACAGCAAAACAAACTTTCCAACAGTGTTAATTCAAATCCACTACTACAACCAAACTTAATAGTTTCAAATAACGTGGAATTACAAAGAAATTCAAACTACAATAATTCATCAACTAAGGACATTAATATTAATATAATTCCCAATCAATCATATTCGGAAATGTATCCGAATAACTTTTTTCCTCAATATCAATACAATGCCCCTTATTATAACAAACCACCATTTAACAACATTCACACTTCACAAATAAATCATTTATAAATTTATTTTTCATATATTTTATTTATTATTTTTTGTACATTATTTTGTATTTAAACTATTATAATTTAATAAAAGAGGATATTTTACCCAAATTTCATGCTTATAAAACCCAACAGTCTCTGCTATGCTAGACCTACATGTCTTGTTTCTTCAAATATGATTATAACATTTTTTACATTTCCTAATTTGTATATAGACAATTACAGTGTAACAATTATTATAGAACATCATATTAATAAATGTAAATAAATGGTTCCTTCTTGTTATCATAAGAAGTGATCTCGTATAGGGTTCCTAAACGTAGTTATAACTCCATATTCGAATATTTGTTAATCCAAAATTACGAATTTTGAATATTATTTCGGATACTCGTAATTATTTTGAATGCTCATTATTTCGAATATTTGTATGGGTTTGATTCATTTCGTCGACAGTCATTTCGTCGAAAGTTTGTTTCATCAAAGTTCATTTCGTCGAAAATTATTTCGTCACAAAAAAAAACTTCATTAAACAAATTTCTCCTCACACTTCCGACACACCCTGCTTTCCTCACCTAATTTCTTAACTAACTTCCCACACTCCTCACATCTAACTCGTTCGGTCTCTGGCTCGAGGATGAAATAATTTTCGACGAAATGAACTTTCGATGAAACAAACTTTCGACGAAATGGGTGTCGACGAAATGATTGTCGACGAAATAATTTTCGACGAAGTAAACACGACCGAAATAATAATAAATAATAAAAGGTAATTCATAATTATTGTAATTAATTGCCACTTTTTCTTTTTAAAAATATAATTATGAATTAATTATGGGTGATGAAATTAATTATGAATAACAATGAATGAATTAATGGAAATATCATAATACAGAATGAATGCTATTTGAAATCAAAGAAACTGAAAATTTTCTATAAACACTACATTGGTTGATACCAAAGCAAATAAACAAAACTTCAGAGTTATATATCACTCTAATCCCTACTGTTTAATTTCTTCTGACTACAAAAGTGTTTTTATAAGCAAAACAAAGAATTTATTTATTTATTATTATGCGTGAAATTATTTTAATTTCTTCTGCAATGGATAATTTCGTCACTTGTAATTAATTTCATCGCCTGTAATTAATTTCATCACGCGTAACTAATTTCATAATTATGTATTATGTGTTACGTTTTTGTGGTATTAAAAAAGCTTGAGATAGTACAAAAACACTAATTTTTATACTCATGAACATAATAACCTGAGCTACCAAATAATGTAAATTTCATACAATGTCATTATGTAAGATTTTGCGGAATTTTCGAAAAAATGCGTTTGAGAATTTTTTTAGATTAGAAATGTTATGATCTTTCTAAAATGGATTTCATATATATATAATTAGTATCAAATAAAAGTTTGGAACATATACTTCCACTTAAAGGTTTTAGATTTTTAAAAACTTTATTAAAATTTTTTTCTATTTTTGTTTAAAACTTTTTTTTGCATACAACTTTTTTTTATAAACAAAAAATTAAAA